CGGGGGGGGCTGCATGTCGGGAGTGAGGGGCGCAGGCGGAGCCGGGGGGGGGGCGCCGGCCGGCCCGGGGGGGGCTGCATGTCGGGAGTGAGGGGCGCAGGCGGAGCCGGGGGGGGGCTGCGGGTCGGGAGTGAGGGGCGCCGGCCGGCCCGGGGGGGGCTGCATGTCGGGAGTGAGGGGCGCCCCCAAGGCTGGTACCTGCAGCGCTGCAGGGGGGGGCTGGGCTGCAACATTCTGGCCCCTCAGCCTCGCTCTGGCTCGAAGATGGCGGCTGATCTGAGCCTGCCCTATTCGGGCCCAGCCGGGGGTGGGCGCATCTGCCAGGGACAAAGATGGCGGTGGCCATGTGTGAAGCCCGGGGCGGAGCTTGACTTCCGCCAGAAGCTGGATCTAATCGCAGGGAGGGGAGAGAGATAGGACAAAGGGGGCAGAGCTCTTTCCCTGCCAGAGCTGGGGAGAGAACCCAGGAGTCCTGGCTCTCTGCCCCTCCCCCCACTCTAAGCACTAGCCCCCACTCCCCTCCCAGTCAGGAGAGAACCCAGGAGTCCTGGCTCCCAGCTCTCACTCGCCTGCTCTCACCACTAGACACCACTCCCCTTTGAGACACGGGGCTGGAACCCAGGAGTCCTGGCTGCCGACCCCTCCCCAGCTCTGCCCCTACAGCTGTCAGGAATGCTGCCCTGGGCAATTCACGCCCTGCGGAGCTCAGGCCCGTGTGGGGCAGAGGCCAGGCATCTGCCAGGGAATTGGGAGCTGCTTGCAGTGTCTGGGGCTTTGTCATTAGCTTCTGTGCAGGGAGCATCCTGACATTGCCTGGCGGGGGGCTGGGAGCCGGGACTCTTGGGTTCTCTTCCCAGCTCTGGGAGGGGAGTGGGGCTGATGGTTAGAGCAGGGAGGCTGGGAGTTATCCAAACAGCTGTGTCAATGACTCTCTCTGATCCACTCACGCCGTTTACACCACCTTTAGCTTTTTGTGCCTTTGTGGCCAGAATTTGGCGCCGGGCCCCACGAAAGTCCCGGCGGGTTCAACGGGAGCCAACTTTCTCCTGAGTTTTCCCAGAACTGCAGCTGCTTGGGGCTCTATGCAGAACACCCCAAACCCTGCCAATTAGCAACGCCGCGGATTTGGCTCTAACAGGTGCACTGGTGGCAGCTTCTCTTCCAAATGGGAACCCAGGCATCCCGGTGGGAGATGCCGCTCGCCCACTTATTACTCTAATCACAGGGCTGCCAGCAGCTGAGCAAGCTTGTTAAGGAGGTGTGTTTTCCTCCCAGCTTTCCTGGCTCTGGGCCAGGCGGCCAGGCCTGGTAGCAGGTGACGGGCGCGGGAGGGCAGGAAGTGTTAGCAAAGCCAGCGCTCTTGAGACGGGCTTGGAGCTCGGCAGCATCACTCGTTTGGATCTTTATGTGGGGTGAGATTGACCCCAGGGAGCTGAGATCAGAAGCCGGCCCTCCTTACCCCCAGTGCAGTCAGGGGTGACTCCGGATTGACCCCGGGGGAGCTGAGATCAAGGGTGACTCTGGATTGATCCCGGGGAGCTGAGATCAGAACCCAGCCCTCTCTGCCCCCAGTGCAGTGAGGGGTGACTCCGGATCCAGCCCAGAGGTGGGTGGCTCTGTCCCATGGTGGAGGGTGTTTCTCATTCATGTGCCATGGGGTGCTCTGAGCCAGCCTCCCGCAGTTGCTGTGTAGGCGGTTCCCAGCCCCAGGGCTCAGGGCGCTGGCTCGATGCCTTAGACCCAGGGGATCCCCGCATCACTGCGACAGCTGCTGAGCCAGCCAGGTGCTGCCTCCCGCCCTAGGGCAGGTAAGAGAGGGGGCTCCCTCTGCGGGGGGTTCTCCCTGCACACACAGCCCGGCTGGGGATGGAGGGCTGGGGGCTTGGCCTGGGGGGGGCCCCAACGGCTCTGTGCTGGCTCCCTCCTTCGCTCCGAGCAGCTCCAGTGTCTGGTTCTTCCTTTGCCCATGGGCCCCTTGCCTGGGGCAGCCCCGGTGCCAGCCAGCAGCAGCAGGGCAGAGCTAGCCAGGGGGAGTGCGGCCGGGGGATGACAAAATGTACACAGGTAGGGATGGAGAGAAGTTGTGTGGGAGGGTGGAGAGGGTGTGGGGTTGGAGAGGTTCCCATGGGGCTGGGTAGAGGAATGGGAGGGTGGAGTGGGTGTGGGATTGGAGGGCTTCCTGTGGGGCTGGGTAGAGGAGTGCGGGGGATGGAGGAGGTGTGGGGGTGGAGAGGTTCCTGTGGGGCTGAGTAGAGGAGTGGGGGGGTTGGGTGGAGGGGTTTCCGGTGGGGGCTGGGTAGAGGAGTGGGGGGTGTGGTGGAGGGGTTCCCATGGGGCTGGGTAGAGGAGTAGGGGGTGTGGTGGAGGGGTTCCCGTGAGGCTGGGTAGGGGTGTGGGGTGGAGGGGTTTCCATGGGGCTGGGTAGAGGAGTGGGGGGGTTGGGTGGAGGGGTTTCCGTGGGGCTGGGTAGAGGAGTAGGGGGTGTGGTGGAGGGGTTCCCGTGAGGCTGGGTAGGGGTGTGGGGTGGAGGGGTTTCCGTGGGGCTGGGTAGAGGAGTGGGGGGGTTGGGTGGAGGGGTTTCTGAGGGGCTGGGTAGAGGAGTGGGGAGGTTGGGTAGAGGAGGGGGGATGGAAGGGGTGTGGGGGTGGAGGGGTTCCCCTGAGGGCCGCCCCACACATCAGGCTCAGGCTGCAGCTGAGGACACGTGGCTCCTGGCTCTGCTTGTGGCCAGCTGCGTGACTCTGGCCACGTCCCTGATCTCACGGGGCCTCAGTTTCCCCATCTTTACAATCTTTCAGCCTGCCAGCTGCACAGGGCAGCACGGTTTCCCTGCGTGTGAGCAGCGCCTGGCCCAATGTGGCCTCGCTCTCGGCCCCTGGGCAGCCGTGGGGTCCCACCCTCCATTAGGGTACTGACAAGAGCCATAAGAATAACGTGAACAATCGGAGGCGAAGAAACGAACTCAGGCACTGTGATTTCCCCTGGCATTACCCCGTCTCTCAGACACAGCTCACTGGGGACACCACGTTTTCAACTACCCCCGAGGCTAGAACAGCAGTAAATAGACTCAGCTTGTTTACTTTGATAGCTGCAGTTGCATTCAAATTGTGTAAGACTTTTCACAAGCTGGGACCAGGGAGCTCTGCCCGGCCTCTCCAACGCTACAATAACACTGATAATCGTTCAGAACATCTGTCTGTTTATATTGCAGCATTAAAATACATGCACATGTGCACACGCGATGTTATGAGGGAGGGCCTTGATGGTTACCATGAATCATGATAAAGCTGAAGGGTGTAATCTGTTGGGTTACCTAGAAGGAGCAATTAAGCTGATGGTATGTAATGAGAGTGGGAAATGACAGAAGCCACCACCCAAGGCATGGTGCCAAAAGGCAAGGCCTGTGCAAAAACAACAAAAAGCTAATCCAGGGAGATGAAGAGGGGTTTTCCCAGGATGCTGGAACTAGGGTAGAGGACATTTGGTTTCTACTCCTGCCTCTGCACCTAGGCAGCTCCAAGTCACATTGATCGCTCTAGGCCTCCTCTTCAACATGAGGATAACGTTCCTGACCCCATCTGTTTACACGTCATGGGGGTGGCTTAGCCAGAGACACAGTGGCCATGGAAGAAAGCAGCGAGACAAAGCTTTTTGGGGCACAGGACTGTCTGAATGCAGGCCTGGATTTCTGAACAAGGAACCGCCCTGCTGCTGCTTGATCCTAGTGCATTGAGGGAACTAGGCCTTTGCATCCATTCTTGGTCACCCCAGATCACACAGGACTCCTACCAGCCATTTCTCCTCCAAGTGATCGGACATTGACGGACTGCGCCAGCTGAATTGGGCAGCAACATTATGCATCAGTCAGTAGCTTTGGGCGGTGGCAGAAGATGAGCCATCATCAGTTATTCATCCCACTGCCCCTCCGTGGCTGGATTCCAGCCTTGCCACAGACCTGGGCATGAAACAGCAGCTGGGCAAAACTTTCCAGACGAAAGTTTTCATTTGCTGGGGGTGGTTCTAGGCATTGGGTGACCGAGACCTTGCACGAACTTGTGGCGATTTTGACACATTTTTTTGGGTCGGGGAAAAAGCGATTTGCGAAAAGTCCAACGGTTTGATTTTTAGGGGCAGGGGATTCATGCTGCTCTGCCGCTAGGAACTTCCACCCATTTTATTTGATCTTTTTAAAGGCAAAAGTGTATTTAAAACCCCGCTTGCCACTGGGCCGAAACAAAAATGTCTGATTTGCCAAAAACTCTAAAACAGAAAAAAAAAATCCATGTTTTGCCCCATGTGTAGGTTCATCAATTCTAAAGCCAGAGGGGACCCTAGTCTGCCCTCCTGTCTAGCACTGGCCAGAGAACGGCCCTGCAATAACTGAGCAGATCTGTTACAAAACCAGCCGATCTTCATTTAAAAATGGGTGAATTGTCCCCCTGGTTTGTTACTCTGACTGTTCCAAATGTAATCCTCGTTTCCAGGCTGAATGCATCTTGCTTCGACTTCCTGCCATCAGATGGTGTTTAACCTTCTTTTACTAGACTGAGGAGCCCGTTATGAAATCGCTGTTCCCCATGGATAGACTGGGATCAAGTCACCCCGAGCCTCCTCATCAAGCTAAATAGACTGAGTCCCAGAGTCACTCACTCTCAGGTAAAAAGAAAAGGAGTACTTGTGGCACCTTAGAGACTAACCAATTTATTTGAGCATGAGCTTTCGTGAGCTACAGCTCACTTCATCGGATGTTTACCGTGGAAACTGCTGCAGACTTTATATACACACAGAGAATATGAAACAATACCTCCTCCCACCCCACTGTCCTGCTGGTAATAGCTTATCTAAAGTGATCAACAGGTGGGCCATTTCCAGCACAAATCCAGGTTTTCTCACCCTCCACCCCCCCACACAAATTCACTCTCCTGCTGGTGCTAGCCCATCCAAAGTGAATTTGTGTGGGGGGGTGGAGGGTGAGAAAACCTGGATTTGTGCTGGAAATGGCCCACCTGTTGATCACTTTAGATAAGCTATTACCAGCAGGACAGTGGGGTGGGAGGAGGTATTGTTTCATATTCTCTGTGTGTATATAAAGTCTGCTGCAGTTTCCACGGTAAACATCCGATGAAGTGAGCTGTAGCTCACGAAAGCTCATGCTCAAATAAATTGGTTAGTCTCTAAGGTGCCACAAGTACTCCTTTTCTTTTTGCGAATACAGACTAACACGGCTGTTCCTCTGAAACCTGTCACTCTCAGGTGGGTTTTCTCACTCTTGAACCATTCTCCTGGCTCTTCTCTGGCCCCTCTCTGATTGATCGCTGTCCTTCCTGAACGGCGCACACCAGAGCTAGACACAGGCTCCCAGCAGTGGTCGCACCAAATCTAGAGGTCAAACAGCCTCTGCTCCATCTTAAGATTCCCCTGTTGACATGCCCCAGGCTCGCACAGGGAGCTCACGTTCAGCCATATATCCGCCACGTCCTCCCAGGTTTCTGCAGGGTCCCGGCTTCCCACAAGAGAGTCCCCCGGCCTGGAAACACGGCCAGCGTCCTTTAATCCCAGGTGGCTACGGTGATGTTTAGCCGTGGATTTGTGACCTTTCTCTATCGGAAACCTCCTGCACATCCGAGGTTCGTATGTCTCCCCGACAAGCAACTAAGGCCGTCCTCCTCCCCTCGACTTCACACAGAACCGTGGGTCAAGTTCGGCGCTTTGCTCTTGTCTCCCTGGCCAGGTCAGAGCGGCTCTAAAAGAATCTGTAGCTGCATGCCAGGCTCAGGTGGGACGCTCTATACTAAAGACAAGACATCGGCAGGACAGGGCTTCATCTGGGGCTGGGTACCCCAAGCCCCGACCTTCCAGCCTCCCCGCCTCCAGGCGAGTTTCACCATCGACACAGAGCGACCTGCGTGTTCCACATCAGTCCTACCAGAACAAGCCGCTCCACCCCTGGGCGAGGCGGAGGGAACAAGCGATTCATGACAGTCTTCACGTTGGGGACGGCAGACAGGAAGAGCTCGGGGCACCACAGCGAGAGGCGTGGGAATGTCCTAGATTATGGCTGCTGCAAATTGAAAAGCCATCGACACTCGGCCACGTGAGGCTGGAAGGGGCCTTGAGGGGGTGTCCGGCCCAGCCCCCTGTGCCGAGGCAGGACCAAATCCACCTAGATCATCCCTGGCAAGGGTTTGTCCGATGTGGTCTTGCAAATGCCCATGGATGGGGAGCCCACAGCTGTTCTGGGGAGCCGGGTCCATAGTTGAATTCTCCTCCCCATTCGAACATTTCCCCTGATTGCTCACCAGGATCTCCGTCGCCAGCAACTCAACGATCGATCCCCAGCCTCCTTAGACCAGCCTGGTACGCCTCTGTAGGCCGCTATCGGCCCTCCTCAGCCAGCTCGTCTCTGGCTGGACCAGGCCTGGTTCTTCCGCCTTTTCCCCATTGGCTGGGTTTTCTAATCCTCCCACTCATTTGGCTCCTCTCCTCTAGACTCTTTCCAAATGTGGCCAAATCTCTCTGAAAGTGCAGCACCCCAGAATGGAGCTTCCCCCCTACCCGGACAAGCAAGCCTTCCTGTGGCTCACACTCGACCCTCCTGTGCACAGGGCACAAGTGATCCAGTTTGTGATCCACTAGACACCCCTCCGTGTGCTGTTTTGCGGCACCCCTGCCTAGCCAGCTATTTCCACCTCACTGGGCCACTGATTTTCCCTTCCCAGCGCCGTTCTCTGCGCTGGTCTGTTGCGAAGGCCTTCTTGCTGATTTCAGCCCCATTCGCCAATTTTTCAGACCCCTCCCAGTGTGGGCCCATCCGCAGGTATCCCAGGCAGGTCGGGAAGGAGTCGGGTTTGAAGTGCTCAGGGTCAATTTCTCAACCAACCGCAGACTATGGCCGTAACCCTGGAAACTCAGTGAGAGGCTGAGTCAGGAAACCGCTGCTCGTGCACAATCAGACTTTCACTGGGTCTCTTCCTGCGGGTGCTGGGGCCCGTTCGGGTTTTAAGGAGGAGCGAGCGTTAACTCTCGGACTCCTGGTGTCTGTCCTCACTGGATAATTAGTGACTAATTGTCTGATTTCCCCCTCCCCTCTTCCGCCATCCTAGTTCTGCACCGATGTGAACATGGAAATCGGCAAATCTCAAGAAAGTGTTAAAGTGAAGGCCAGGTTTGCGATCCGAATCCGCTGGCACGGGGCCTGGTGCTGAGCATTGGCTCCAGTCTGGTAGCCAGTGCAGGCAGCCCCGGGGGGACGGGCGGCCGTGGGGAACAGAGCCAGGATCCCTATACAGGAGAGTCAACCCGGCTCGTGGCCTGAGGCTGGAGCAGCCTCATGAATCGCTGGGTGGCCTGGCCACCACTGCGGGGGAGGGTGTCATGTGACGCACGCCATGGGCATGACTCAAATGCACACACAGAGCAGGGCCCAGCCCCTCCAGCAGGGGGCAACACACACAGAGAGCAGGGGATGAGGGGTAACTCTGAGGGCTCCTGCCCTGTCTAATGACCCTCATGCCTCCCCCATTGCCAGCCCCAGGATGTTCAAGGAATATTTCCAGTACAAGGGGATCAGCTTCCCCAGGCTGATCTACTCGGAGCAGGGGCTGCGGGAGGTGGAGAACGAATTCCAAGTCCAGGATGATGACGTCTTTAACGTCACCTACCAGAAATCAGGTACCGTGGGGCCCTGGAGCCAGGGCTAGAGCTCTGGGAGTGGGGTCGAGTGGTTAGAGCAGGGGGCTGGGAGCCAGGACTCCTGGGTTCTCTCCTCGCTCTGGGTGGGGGTTAGGGATTCTGAGGACCGCACAGCACTGGGGGGAAGGGGGTGGTTCCCCGTTGTCCATAGCAACGCTCACCACAGGCTGTCGCCATAGGGACCGTCTGGATGCTGGAGATCCTGAGCCTCATCCACAGCAATGGGGACCCCAGCTGGTGCCGCACGGTCCCTAACTGGGACCGGGGGCCCTGGTATGAGACTGTCTTGGGCCTCCAGAAGGCACGGAGCAACCAGGCACCCCGGCTCATCAGCTCCCACCTGCCCGTCCAGCTCTTCGCCAAGTCCTTCTTCCAGTCCAAGGCCAAGGTGCGGGAGCTGGCTCTGGGGCCGGGGCGGGGTGGTGGTGGTGGGGGATGTAAGGCAGAGCCTTGGCTCTGGGTTAAAATAAAATTCAGTTTCTGGCTCCTTTGGTTGTGGAGAAAAGCCCCCAAAATACAACTCTGCCAGAGTTTGCAGAGAGCCTGAGCCCATTGATCTCCCCCAGCACCTTTCCCAGCATGCACCCAGGGGCACAGTCCCCCAGCCCCTTCTGCAGCATGTACCCCAGGGGCCCAGTCCTCCACTGCAGCCTCTCTTCCAGCATGCACTCCTGCGGCCCAGCCCCTCCCCCAGTATGCACCCCAGGGACCCAAGCCCCCCAGCTCCTTTCCCAGCATGCACCCCGGAGCCCAGTCCCTCAGCCCCTCCTGCAGCATGTACCCCGGGGCCCAGCCCCAGCCGTTCCCCCAGCATGCACCCAAGGGCCCAGTCCCGCCCCCACTCACCCCGTGTCCCCCCCAGGTGCTGTACACATTGCGGAACCCCAAGGACGTCTTTGTCTCCCTCTACCACTTCGCCCAGATCTTCCGCCCCTACAAGGAGCCGGGGCAGCTGGACCAGTTCCTGGAGCAGTTCCTGGAGGGAGACGGTGAGTGCCATGCGGTGGGCGGGAGGCTGCCCCCCCCACCTGAGATGCCCCCCATGACCGCCTCCTTTGCATTTTCAGTGCCCTTCGGCTCCTGGTTCGACCACGTCAAGGGCTGGATGGGCCTGCGGGACCAAGAGAACTTCTTCTGGATCACCTACGAGGAGCTGCAGCAGGTTGGGGAGGGGGCCCTGGGATGGGGGGAGGCGCGGATCCCAGCAGAGGGGAGGGGAGATGGGGGAGGCATGGGGTTGGGGCTGGAGTAGCTCCAGGTGGAGAGGATCTGAGGGGGGATCCCTGAGGGCAGAGGGTTGGGGGCTGGGTTCGCCCAGGCAGGGGGAGTTAGAGCTCACCGTTACCCCTCCTGCAGTTACCCCACCCCACCAGCTGAGGGTGCTGTTGCCCCCCTCCCCACCACCCTGTAACCATGGACATGGGGGGCCTGTGGGTCAGCTCCCCCTGGAGCAGAAATCAGGGGCTCTAGGTCCGGCCTTAGCTCAGCCACGGTGCCCCCAGCCCCGGATGCAAGGTGACAGGACAGACGCCTCCTTGGCCAGGCAGCGGGCTGAGCCATGCCCCCCGACTGAGCCTGGTGGGGCTGGGAGACGGGGGAGGGACCTGGGAGCTGGTGCCGGCAGAAGGGTCACAAAATGCAGCAGTGACACGGGACCCCGCCCCCCGCAAGAGTGCGAGGGACCAAACCCAGGCACTGCGCCACGTGGGGTCCTGCTTCCTTGCGCCACCCAGACATGGAGTCACCGAGATCGGGGCCCCATCGTGCCAGGCACTGTCTCGGAGAGCTCCAAGTGTAAATCGACAGACGGTGAGAGGGTAAACTGAGGCACAGCAGAAGGCCCATGACTTGTCCAGGGTCACCCAGCGGTTCAGTGACAGAGCCGAGCCGAGACCCCAGGAGTCCCCCAGTCCATCTCCAGCCTCCTCCATCCCAGCCAGGACTCCAGGGACCCATCTCTGAACCGTGCCAGGGGCTCCCGTCCCCGCTTCTGTCTCCCCCGGGGCTGGCCCGAGGCAGGATGGGGAGGTCCCCTCAGTCGGAGAGTCCCCCTGAGTTAGATCCACCCCGTTCTGAGGTTCTCCAGCGCGGCCCGAGGCCTTCCTGCCTCGGTTTCCCCAAGCCTGGTGTGCCCCTGAGGGAGGCCTTGACACTGACCCCCTCCCCTCCTGCCCGCAGGACCTGCGGGGCAGCGTGGAGCGGATCTGCCAGTTCCTGGGCAAGCCGCTGGAGGCGCGGGCGCTGGACGGGGTGGTGGAGAACGCCTCCTTCCAGGCCATGAAGCAGAACAAGATGTGCAACTTCAGCCTGGCCCCCGGGTTCCTCCTGGACCAGACCCAGAGCTCGTTCCTGCGGAAAGGTGGGGCTGGGCAGGGGGGCTACGGGAGGCGAACGAGGCCCCATAAGCTGAGTCCTGGATGAGAAGAGACGTAGACCCTGGCTCAGCTCCGAATGACGGGGCTGTGGGTTGGGAGTGAGGGGCACCAGCAAATCTGGGGGGAGCCCAGGGCCGGCCTAGTAGGGGGCTGTGGGTTGGGAGTGAGGGGCACTGACAGAGCTGGGGGGAGCCCAGGGCCGGGCTAGCAGGGGGCTGCGGGTCGGGAGTGAGGGGCACCGGCAGAGCTGGGGGAGCCCAGGGCCAGGCTAGCAGGGGCTGCGGGTTGGGAGTGAGGGGCACCGGCAGAGCTGGGGGAGCCCAGGGCCAGGCTAGCAGGGGCTGCGGGTTGGGAGTGAGGGGCACTGACAGAGCTGGGGGGAGCTCAGGGCCGGGCTAGCAGGGGGCTGTGGGTTGGGAGTGAGGGGCACCGGCAGAGCTGGGGGAGCCCAGGGCCGGCCTAGTAGGGGGCTGTGGGTTGGGAGTGAGGGGCACTGACAGAGCTGGGGGGAGCCCAGGGCCGGGCTAGCAGGGGCTGCGGGTTGGGAGTGAGGGGCACCGGCAGAGCTGGGGGAGCCCAGGGCTGGGGTAGTTGGGGGGGGTGATGTGGTGGCCACTCCCATAATGCTCTCTGCTCTCTCTCTGTCACAGGGATTGCCGGGGACTGGAAGAACCAGCTCACCGCAGCCCAGAGTGAGAATTTCGACCGGATTTACCGGGAGCAGATGCAGGGGCTTGATCTGAGCTTCCCCTGGGACGAGCCAAGCCCCCAGCCCTCCCCACCCTCTACCAACTGCTCAGGCCCCTCACCGGGCAGCAGCTGAGACAGGAGGGAGTGCAGTGCACTGGTTAGAGCAGTGGGGCTGGGAGCCAGGACTCCTGGGTTTCAGGTTTAACAATCGAAAACAGGACTCCCAAGGGCGGGGATAGGGGTGTCCTTGGGCAGTGGGGTGCATGTTGGGTGCTGGGGGTCAGGTGTCCAGGAGGAGTAGGATGGGCCCAGGACTCTGTGTTCCCAGTGGCTCCCCGTGGGGCGGGTGAAGCTCAGTAGTTGCGCTAACCACTAGACCCCACTCCCTGCACCCTGTGAGGCCATGTTAGTGGCCCCTCTGGGAGGTCTCTTGGGAGAGGATGGAGCTCCCCCCCGCCCCCGGCAGGATCCCTGCCCCATTTAGCCCCCACAAGGTGCAGAGGGAGTGGGAGAGGGGTTAGTTCAGTGTGTGTGTGTGTGTGGGGGGGGTGTCAAGGGTCCCCCAGGATCTGGCCTCCTCTTAACCTGAGATCTGTAGTAAACACAGAACAATAAAACTCATTTCTCGCTGGGTACCTAATGTGGCCACTCAGGGGGGAGGGAGGTTGGTTGTCTGGGGATCCCTCACCCAGTGTTGGGCCAGGGCCCGGCAGCGGGGGCTGGGTATACAGGGACGCCTTGCAGCCCCTCAGGGGTGGGGCACGGGACTGGTTATCTGAGGACGCCTCGCTTGGTCACACTCAGGGCAGGTCCGGCCCTCTCTCGGCGATGGGCTCAGGCTCTCAGCACGCTCAGGCAGGGTCTGTCCCCCTCCAGTCACATTTCCAGACTTTTCTTTGCAGCGTGAGGCCTAGAAACGCCCTGTTCCTTCTGCCCGGCACCTGGCACCGTGCCCAGGCTGGCTTTCGCTCCCCCCACTCCAGCAGCTGAAAGCAGAACCCGAGTCGTGGCCCCATCACTTTTATTGTCGCGGGTCGCTGGACAGAACTGTCAACAGCCAGTCCTAGCACGTCTCCATCCGTGCACAGGGGGCGTGACTGATCCCCCCCCGCCATCAACCCCCCCGGGGCCATACAGTACCCCTGTCTGACACCTTCCCCCCCCCCCCCAGACTGCGCCACCCTGACCCGGAGGGTCCCGACCGCAGAAACCCAGCGGCTCTGAGTCCAGTGTGAACCCCAGGGTCCCTGCAGGAAGCCAGCTGCATGCTGGGGGGTCCTGGCACCCTAATACCCCTGGGAGCTGAGATACAGAGCACCCCTCCCCCTGTCTCAATGGGAACCAATTTCCCATCCCTCAGGGATCACAGCAGGGTCAGGCAGTGGGGCAGGGACGGGTGGGACTCTTAGACCCACAGTTCTACATCCTGACATCCCCCCCCCGCAAAAAAATGGCATGGTCCAGCTAGGGAAACCCCTTCCCCCTGTTCCAGAACACGGCATGACCCATCTAGGGACACCCCTTCCCCCCCATCCCAGAACATGGCATGACCCATCTAGGGACACCCCCTCCCCCCATCCCAGAACATGGCATGACCCATCTAGGGACACCTCCTCCCCCCATCCCAGAACATGGCATGACCCATCTAGGGACAGCCCTTCCCCCCATCCCAGAACATGGCATGACCCATCTAGGGACACCCCCTCCCCTCATCCCAGAACATGGTGTGATTCCCCCCCCCATCAGACCCATAGGCCCATCTAGCCCAGCATCTAACCCTAGAGGGGACGGGCCTCATGCCCTGTCCCGCCCCTACCCAAGGCCAGCGTGTCCCTGCCCTGGGGCCAGTGCCCCCTAGAGGGGAGGGGCCCCGGGTGCCATTCCCCACTTTGTCCTTCCACCTCCAGTGCAGGCTGGACTGCTCCTCAGTTCACCCTTCCCTGGGCCACTATTCACGAGCCCCCCCCCACTGCCCCTCCTCCTCGTCTCACCCTCTCACAGGGTCTGTTCCCTTTGACCCCCCCAGCCCTCTCCTCTGCCCCCCCCGACCCCCCCAATATATCTCCATGCACCCCCCCCAAACTCCCAGGTGTATATTTCAAGGACTGGTTCAGAAGGTTGGTGGGGGGCCTTGGACCCCTTCCCTGCAACTCTGATCCAGGGGTCCCCCCCACCAGGGAATTCCCCTCTCTGACCCCCCCAAATCCAGCCTCTTGGGCGCGTCATGAGCCCTCCCCAGAGCCGCCGGCCGCGCCCCCTTCCTCCTCCTCCTCCGGGGGGCAGAAGGCCGAGTGGTCCTGGCTGTCGAAGCAGGAGCTGCTGAGGAAGGCCGCGGGGAGGGTGCTGGCCAGGGGCTCGGGCCGGTGCCCGCGTTGGTGCCGCAGGAGGCTGTAGGCGCGGGAGAAGAACTTGTGGCAGACCCCGCACTGGTGGGGCTTGTCCCCCTGGTGGACCTGCCGGTGGCGGGCCAGGTCGGCCAGCCGCTTGAACTCCTTCTGGCAGAGCACGCACTGGAAGGGCCGGGCGCCCGTGTGGGTGACCTGGTGCTGCTTGAGGTGGGAGAGGCGCCGGAAGCGTTTGCCACACTGGCCGCAGGGGTAGGGCAGCTCGCCCGTGTGGATCAGGAAGTGGGTGGCCAGGTCGTACTTGCTCTTGAAGGCTTTCCCGCAGACGCTGCACTCGGTGCCCTTGGGGGGCTGCTCCGGCCCCGGGGCGGCTGCCCCGTGCGCCCGCCGGTGGCTGGCCAGCTCGCCCGCCTTGCGGAAGCGCTGGCGGCAGAGCGGGCAGGCGAAGGGCAGCCCCGCGCCGGGGCCGTGGGTCCGGCTGTGCTGCTTGAGGTAGGAGGAGAGGCGGAAGGCCATGCCGCAGTCGGGGCAGGCAAAGGGCTTCTCGCCCGTGTGCACCCGGCGGTGGCGCGACAGGGACCAGGGCCGGGCGAAGAATTTGTGGCACTCGCTGCACTGGTGCCGCTGGGCGCCGCCCGGCCCGGCCTGGCCCCGAGTCTTGAAGCACTTGTGCGCCTTCAGCTCACCCTTGGTCTCGAAGGCCTCCTGGCAGGCCAGGCAGAGCAACGTCCAGTCCTCCTGCAGCAGCACCTGCTTCTCCTCGGCTTCCTCGCCCGGGGGCCCGGCCTGCTGGCGCGGGGCCGGCTCCGGGAGGCGCTGGCGGGCGTGGGTGCGCTGGTGGCGGGCCAGGTGGGCCGGGCGGCGGAAGGCCTTGCGGCACACCGGGCACTGGAACGGCCTCTGCCCGCCGTGGGTCAGGCCGTGCCGCGCCAGGTAGTAGGGGAATTTGAACTGCTTCCCGCACACCCGGCACCGGTGCCCATGCTTGGCGCCAGAGCGGCACCGGTGGGATTCGCCGCCGGCCGGGCTCTGGGCGGGCGGGTCGTGGGGACGGCACCGGTGCTGCCGGAGGCCGTGGGCCTGGGCGAAGCGGCGCTGGCAAGAGCCGCACTGGTGGGGCAGCCGGCGTGGGGGCCTGCCGGGCGGCTCCTCCTGGGGGGAGTCAGGGGAGGGAGAGGACTCGGGCAGCTCAGTCTCCATTGTGGGGAGCCCTGGATGGGAAGGAAAACACGGGGGGTGGGTCAGGCAGGGAGCAGTAATGATGGGAAATGTCCCCCAACCTGGCACTGCTGGGGCATCAGGGCTGGCTCTGACGCCAGGGAGCACCCCCTACTGACCCCTTGCACTGACCCCCACAGCACAGTGCCCTCGCTTACCTCCCCGCCCAGCTCCCCACAGCCCAGCACCCCCTACTGACCCCTTGCACTGACTCCCACAGCACAGTGCCCCCATCTGACCCCCCCAGCCAGCTCCCCACAGCCCAGCACCCCCTACTGACCCCCTGCACTGACTCCCACAGCACAGTGCCCCCATCTGACCCCCCCACCCAGCTCCCCACAGCGCAGCGCCCCCAACCTACCCCCCACCCAGCTCCCCACAGCCCAGCACCCCCTACTGACCCCCTGCACTGACCCCCACAGCACAGTGCCCCCATCTGACCCCCCCACCCAGCTCCCCACAGCCCAGCACCCCCTACTGACCCCTTGCACTGACCCCCACAGCACGGTGCCCCCATCTGACCCCCCCAGCTCCCCACATCCCAGCACCCCCTACTGACCCCCCGCACTGACCCCCACAGCCCAGCGCCCCCATCTGACCCCCTGCACTGCCCCCCACAGCACAGTGCCCCCACTGACCTCCCCAGCCAGCTCCCCACAGCACAGCGCCCCCGCTGACCCCCTGCACTGCCCTCCGCAGCACAGTGCCCCCATCTGACCCCCTCACCCAGCTCCCCACCGCCCAGCACCCCCTACTGACCCCCTGCACTGACCCCCACAGCACAGTGCCCTCGCTTACCTCCCCGCCCAGCTCCCCACAGCACAGCACCCCCGCTGTCCCCCTGCCCCCGCCCGGCAGCCCAGCGCCCCCTAGCGCCGCCCTGGATCGGGAATGGGGGGGCAGACTGGCCCCTAGCCCCGCCCCGTCAGTGTCACTAGTACCCGGCTCACTCCCTACCCACCTCTCTAAGGGTTAACCCGCCCCCCACCCCAAGCTCTCTGCAAACCGGCTGCCCCTCCCATGCGGGGAGGGGGGGGCTGCACTTCCAGTCCCTCCCCCCCATGCAGCACTGCTCGCCTGCATCGTCCCCCCCATGCAGCATCCCCGGGCCAGGGCCCCACCCCGCTAGGGCTCGCCCGGGTGTTACCTCTGCTGCCAGCTGCAGGCTCCGTGCGGGGGGGGGCGGGCGCAGGGGGGCGATGAGTGTCTGTGTCGCAGCCAATCTCGTCCCCCTCAGAAACGCACACTGGTGCTCGCACACTCTAGTGCCAATGCAGAGCCAGCAGCCAGAGACCAGGACGCCTGGGTTCTATCCCCAGCTCTGGGAGGGGAGTGGGGGCTAGTGGGTAGAGCAGGGGGGCTGGGAGCCAGGACGCCTGGGTCTGTCCCCAGCTCTGGGAGGGGAGTGGAGGTCTGGTAACTAGCAAGAGAAATACGAAGGGGGGGGGGGGCTTGAAGACCTTGTGTTGGAAAAAGGGCCCTTGGCCTCGGTGATTTTGTGTCTGGGCAGCGCCTGGCGCGACGGGCTCCCAATCTCAGCTTGATCCTCTATGCGCCACTACAAACCACCTAATGAACAGTAGCTGGTTTCCAAAGGCAGCCTGGGGAATTTAAATCCAACTGCAAAATCTGTCCCCGTGAATTAAGCCCTAGAAACGTTTCAGTTACTAACAGCTTCCTGATCTTATTGACAATGAAGCCACCCGGTCCCGAGCTCAGTTGGTTCAGTCTCCGCCCTGTTAATATTCTGCACCTTATTTCTAGCCTGAATGTATCTCCCTTCGCCACCCAGCCACTCTGTCTTTTGCTGCTCAGTGAAAGCCACCTACACCCAGAAATCTCTTCCCCCACGGAGCCTGTGATCCCATCGCCTCATGGAGAAACTAGCTGGAGGTCATTCGGGGCCGTCTCCCAGCCTGCGTCAGACCTTGGCTTGGAAGTATTTGGGTAAATGCCATCCCGATAAAGGTCAATGTCACCGCCCACGCACAAACCGCTGACAAAAGCTTTTCATCCATAATGATCAAACTGTACAGCCAAGCAAAGGAGGCAAAATCCGTTGGGCCCCGCCAAATTCACCGTCCACTTTGGCCAAAGTCACGGTCATAGGATTTCAAAAATAGTAAATTTCATGATTACAGCTCTTTAAATCTGAAATGTCAAGGTGTTGGAACTGCGGGGGTCCAGACCCAAAAAGGAGGGGGGGGAGGTCAAAAGTTATGGGGGGGTATCACCACCCCTACTTCTGCGCCGCTGCTGGCAGGGGGCGCCTCAGAGCTGGGTACCCAGCCAACAACTGCTGCTCTCCGGCCACCAGCCGCTGCTCTCCAGCTGCCCAGCTCTGAAGGCAGCACAGAAGTAAGGGTGGCAATCCTGCGACCCCCTACAATAACCTTGTGACCCCCCTGCAACTCCCATGTGGGTCAGGACCCCCAATTTGAGAAACACTGGTTTCCCCCATGAAATCTGTACAGTACAGGGTAAAAGCACACAAAAGACCAGATTTCACAGGACAGAGACCAGATTGCATGGTCCGTGACGCGTGTTTCATGGCCGTGAATTTGGTAGGGCCCTAAATACACGGCTTGATTTAAGGCTGTTTGGTTTGTACATTTTCACAGGTGCAGTTGACCATTTGTGTTTTAACGGTTCTAAAGTTTAACGTGATGACTCTCAACGTCGTCTGGCATTAAGTAATTAGAGCCTGACCCGCCCCCATAAGTTCCTGCAACTGTGAACATGTAGAAATCAGTAAAAATAAAATAAAAATGGCTTCAAAATAGACAGTGATGCTTTCCACCAAAATTATAAAAAAATAAAAATCAAATTCCACCCAGGCTCATTCTACCACCAGTCGGACCAGTCCCTCGGTCCTTAGTACCTTTGAATCTAAATAGATTGCGCTCTGTAAGTCATTCTTTCGAAGGCAGGTTTCCCAGACCTTCAATCCTTGTTGAAGCTCAGTTCTGAACCCTGTCCAACCCGGGCAGCGTTCGCAGTATTGTTCAAGCTGGCTGGGCCCCAGGATATTGACGAGAGAAGGTGGGTGAGTTCAGATCTTGCATTGGACCAACTTCTGTTGGCGAGAGAGACGAGCTTTCGAGCTCTCAGAGCTCGTCTTCTTTGAGATCTATCAGTTAACCAGTTTTTAACCCATTTGGTGTTGATGTCAGACAGTGCTCACTGGTTGTTAAGCAGCGCGGCAGATAGTATTAAACCAGACAGCTGCCTAAGTGTATTACATCCGCACTGCTACTGTACCAACCAAACCTGTATTATTTTGGAATACCTGGGCCTACAGATTTCCCCTCATTGAGAGCTCAGTTGTGAAAAGTCTGTGACGGTTCACTAGATGCCACAATAACCTCTACTAATGAAGGCAGATGGGGAAAGGTAGGAAAGGGAAGGGAAAGACAGAATTAGTTCAAACCAAAAGGCCACCTGCTATAACTCAGGGACTGTGTTAACATCATGCTTGGCAAACAGAAGTGTGGGATGAGAAATCAGTGGTGTGTCAGGAACAAGGCCTAACCGGTGGACAAAATACTATGGGGATGGGCTGTTCAAGCCATCACTCCCATTTGGGGTCCTTATAGAAAGAAACTGGGGATGGGGAAGAAAAATTGGCAACTGGAGCAAGCTTCACCATTATGGCTGACCCCACTCAACCCTCCGGACTCCTGGGACCCCAGACCTTCTTCGTCTTGATTCTGAGAGCTGTCCCGACTGAACCAGGCCAGAGAGAGAGAAATCCAGCTGACACCTCCACCAGTTCTAGCTGAACCCCCAACCCCGCCTGGGATGAAACAGGGTTGGACTTTAGCAAGCCCAGCTGAGCTCACTTCTCTTTCCTTGCAAAAGGCCGTTACCACGGTCAGACGAGGCAGCTTCTCCTTCTCCAGGCTCTGTCTGGCCACAAGGAACGAAGGAGGTTGTGCAGATGGAAGCCTCGTTTAACGCTTGACATTGCAATCTGTCTCTCCTTCGTTCCTGGTGCTTTCAATCAAAGGGTAAAAGGATTTTGAACGGGGTGTTGGCCAGGGCTGAGGGCTCTGGCTACCAAACCTCGTTTAACACTTGTGGCTGGGACATGTCAACCCCCATGTAAACAGCGCTACTGCTTCTCGGGGAACTGGATTCACGACTTCCCTAAACCCACTGTGGCTGACGTCAATTGGGGCAGGCAGCGTGGCCTAGCGGACGAGACGCTGGATTGGGACTCAGCAGATCTCGGCTCTGCCACTGGCCGGCTGGGTGACCTTGGCCAGGTCACGATCCCCCTCACTCTGCCTCAGTTTCCCCATCTGTAAAATGGAGATGATAATGCTGACCTCCTTGGTTAAGCGCTTTGAGATCTGCTGATTGGAAAGTGCTCTACACGAGCTAGGCTCTTAGCGTCTCTCTGCTGACCATGTCCCATATTGGCCTCCCCATGATTTTGCCCAGGATCAATATCAAGCTAACCAGCCTACAAGTACCTGGTTCATTCCATTCACTCCATTTCAAATATTGGCACAACATTTGCTTGTTTCCAGTCCTCAGGGACTTCCGCAGGTTTGTTAATGGTTCAGAGAGCACCTTGGCCAATTCTTTGCACACTCTTGGGTGCAAGTTGTCTGGGCCTGCTAATTGCAAATGGGTTGACTTTACTAGTTGTCATTTAACATCCTAGTTACTGAGGGAATAGCAAACATTTCCCTAGCACTGTCACATGTGAATTTGTCATCCAGCTTCTTTCCAAACGCAGAACAGGAATATGTATAGACAGATGAAGGCAGATAAGAGATTCATAGTTTAAAGTTAGAAGGGACCATCCGTCACACCTCCTGTATAGCACAAAGCATTAAATATCACCCAGTTGGCTTTTGAGACCAATAACTTATGTGTTCTTCCCCAAAACACGCCCCCAGCTCTCTCTGGTTCTTGCAATAATTTCCTCCCTGGCTTGAGAACTGACAAAAAGATCCTCATTTACTGGGTCTTTTACAGAGCTCAACACTCTTCTTTAGCCCCTCAGTTCTAGCCCTCCTAATGGGGTGTCTTTGGGGTTTTCTGGGCTGAGATCAGGAGCCCCGCCCCCGGCTTCCTTTTGACACTGCTTCCTTTCCCCCCCATCCTAGACCCTTGCCTATATTGTTACTGTGAGACAGAGAAAGTTGAGATCTCTGGGCAGGTCAATCCCGCTGCAAAATGTTCCCAAGAGACACTGAGACAGATGGCAGCGTGCGGCACCCCCATGCCACCTCTCCACGGTGCATTGCACTAGGCTTGGGCTCCTGGTGCATACCCTCAGCACTGACGCCAGCAGCCGAGCGCCCGAGCAGTATGCAATCATTGGCTGTACACTGCTGGACCGGGAGCGTTGGCCAAAGCCTGTAGCGTAGACGTGGCCACGGACCCTGACAACAGAGAGGCTTTGGAGGCGGAAAAGCGAGACAGCCAAGCAGCTGCCCTTGAGCACGGCGCAGGACGTGGGAAAACCTAGAGAGCACGCTTAGAAACCACTCTTGTTCATGGTCCTCCCTGGGTTCAGAGAAGCAGGACTTTGTAAATAAACAAGATGGCAGCAAACTCCATCAATTTCTGCTTCCACAGGAATGTGCCCTACGCCCTGAACTTTGACCAGCAGCTCAGGTCCAAAAGGGGTAAGGAATCAAAATTTCTTCAGCCATGCCATGGAACAGGGATTGGCTGAGCCCCAGATCCCTTTAAAGGGCACACACCACCCCGTTACACGGGTATTTTTTCCTCTCAGAAAGTAACCGTAACCAAATCACCACTCGATCTTCTTTTCGGTAAGCTAACCAGCAAGATGGCTGGTGGACTCACAACTAGATCATAATCAAGGGTAAAAAACAACCGTATATCAAATGTTGTATCTAACTGCTGTGATTTCAGCTGAGGAGCTGCTGTTCCAACTGAAGTTGGGTTTGTTCGGAAAACCCACACGCTGATCGGGCGACAGGAGAGCTGATCTTAGCAGCAGAGACTGAAAGAGCTCGGCGTGTTTAGCCTAAACTGCCAGACGTCACCACTGGGCAGGGAGAAGAGCATGCGAAGCTGCAGGACAGAGTAGGCCCAAAGCAAATGGGCTGTGGGTAAATTTCAAAGGCAGTTTTTAACCAGGAACTGAGTGAGGTTCTGGAGCAGCCTTCCCATGGGAGAAGCAGGAGGCAAACAGCCTCTCTGGCTTGAAGATGGGTTTTGATCAGTTTCTGAAGGGTATGATCTGACAAGGGGTGAGCTGACTGGATTTGCTGACCCAAAGAACAAGGAGCAGACGCCCCAGGGAGTCCTGCCCAATCTCGGGGCCTGTACGTGTCCCCCACACCCTCCCATCCAGTTTTTGGCGTCAGAAGAAATAAAAGCCAGGACTTGGTCAGGAGGGGGAAAGAGGTTTTTTTATTTCCTGGTTTTTCAGCGTCGAGCTTCTCAGCGGGGAAGTCCGGGGGAATTTTTACAAACAAAGGGAGAAAATAAAACAACGCTAAACTATTTTAAACCAAAAAAAGATTCTTTAAAACGGGGATCTGGCTCTTGGGAACTAGAGTTGGCGCCACAGCAGGATATCACGTGCAGGGATTCCCTGTTCAGCCACGGGATAGGGGAGGCCCAGTCAATCCAAAATCTGAGATTCACTCTCTTCCCACCTCTGGCTCCAGCGTCTGTCTCCCCTCCCCTCAAAACCAGCGCCGTGTTCCTTCTGCAGCTGACGAAAGCGTCCACAAATCTCCATTCCTGGGAGACCCCACAATAACAAGCTGATGTGTGTGGCCCAGTGTTGCGGAGACCCTACAATAACAAGCCCTAGTGGCTGCAGTCTAGTGTCCAGCAGAGATCTCACACCTGCAAACCAGCGTGGGCAACCATGTGGTTTTGAGAGCCCCAAAAATAACAAAGCAGTGTGTGCAGCCCCAGCACTCCTGAGACAATCTAATAACAACAAGCATGAGCTTGGGAATTTCTTAGAGACCCTACAATAACCGAAGGGTCTGGAGCACACAACCGAGAGACCCTACAATAACACACCAGCGTGCAATGGGAGAGAAGCATCTTTTCGAGGATGTAGCTGGGTGAGAGGGCATGTGGAAGGTTGGGGGAGGGGTGCCCGAGTGACACCCCCACATCCTGCAGTGGTTTCTGGTTCCATTTCAATTACTAGCGCATCCGCGCTCAAGGCTTAGAAGAGACGAGCAGGGCTAGAGCCAAGCTCACAGGCTTGCTGGTTCTCCAGTCGCCAGCGTGGACCAGGATGTGCATGCACGTGAAGGGATCTTGGCCATCACTCAGGATTTGGGATTAGAGGTGGGATCCAAGCTGATGCCTCCACACAGGCTGGATGGCAGCATGGCAGCTCAGGCTGCCTGGGTCAGTGTCGCACGGACTGTGGTGCAGGGAAGAATCTGGAGGTTCCTTCTGGTCCAACTGGGTCTGAGTCTGTACTGTAAAGGCCCAGCCTAGTCTCTGGGGCAGCCTTCAGCCACAGCCCTAAAATTCCCCAATATTCTGCTCTCCCTAGACGATAGATTCATAAACTGGAATAAATTGGACGTAGCTCCATTGAGTCAATGGGGCCAGACCCCCAGCTGGTGTC